AAATTGGGCAAAGCTTGCGTAAGGACCGAGAAGCCTGGTGGTCGATGCGTGCTAATGAGCTGGAAGCAGCAGCTGCATCTGGTAACTACCGGAAGCTCTTCCAGCTCATCCGAGCCACTGGCAGCAAGAAGTCTGGTGTGAGTGAAACAATCTGCGAGGATGATGGGATGCCAATCACTAACATCCATCGACGTCTTGGACGATGGGCAGAATTTTTCGAAGGGCAGTTCAACTGGCCTGCTGCTCCGGCAACATCGGTCAGACTGTCCTGCCCTCCATGGCCGGTGACGACTGATCCACCAAATGAGGAGGAAGTCCGCAAGGAACTCCAACTCTTGAAGCGTTACAAATCACCTGGCCCAGATGACTTACCTCCGGCTCTTTTTAAAGATGGTGGTGACTTTTTGACTAAGGAATTGACGACGTTGTTTACAAAGGTTTGGGAACTAGAGAGTGTACCAACGTCATGGAATGAGTCGATAGTTGTCCCTATCTTTAAAAAGGGTTCACGTCGTTCCTGTAACAACTATCGGGGGATAAGTTTACTTCCGATTGCGTCCAAGCTATTGGCTTCCGTCATTCTTCGTAGGTTGTTCAAAACCCGAGAAAGATTGACTCGCGAGGAGCAGGCTGGGTTTCGTTCTGGTCGAGGATGTATTGATCATATCTTCACCCTCCGCCAAATGTTAGAACACCGCCATACTTTTCAAAGGCCAACAATCGTAGTGTTTCTTGACATCAGGGCTGCCTTCGATTCGTTGGACAGGACTGTTCTCTGGGATTGTCTATTGAAGAAGGGTGTGCCTGAGAAGTTTATTAACATCCTAAAAGCCCTATATAAAAACACCTCAGGCAGAGTGAGGGCATACAACCACCTCTCTCCATTGTTCCATTCGAGCAGTGGGGTTAGGCAGGGTTGCCCAATCTCACCATTCCTCTTCAACTTTGCCATCGATGACATTCTGGAAACAGCTCTGATGAATGTAAGTAATGGTGGTGTGGATCTGTTGCCTGGAGAAAGACTTCTCGACCTTGAGTATGCGGACGATATTGTCTTACTGTGCGATAATGCCCAAGGCATGCAATCCGCACTTAATCAGTTGGCAATCAGTGTCCGTAGGTATGGTATGTGCTTTGCACCTTCGAAGTGCAAAGTACTTCTACAAGACTGGCAGGATTCTAATCCTGTACTCACCCTGGATGGTGAGCAGATAGACGTAGTTGAGAAGTTCGTGTATCTGGGTAGCTGCATAAGTGCTGGTGGGGGTGTGAGTGATGAGATCAATGCACGAATAGTGAAAGCCTTCGTGATGTTAGTCTGGCTGTAAAAGGTCGGATCTACAACGCGTCGGTGAGAGCAGTTTTGCTCTATGCTTGTGAAACCTGGCCTCTCCGAGTTGAGGACGTTAGACGACTCTCTGTGTTCGATCATCGCTGTCTCCGAAGGATTGCTGACATTCAGTGGCAACACCATGTCAGTAATGCAGAGGTTCGGCATCGTGTGTTCGGGCACAGAGATGATATATCAATTGGTGTCACCATCTTGAAACACCGACTTCGGTGGCTTGGACATGTTCTCCGAATGTCGTCCCAGAGAATTCCACGTCGTGCATTATTTGCCGACTCTGGGACTGGTTGGAAGAAGCGGAGAGGTGGTCAGTGCATGACATGGTGTCGTGGTATGAAAGAAAGCTGCAAAGGACTGGCTTGTGTTGGTCCTTCACGACTCCCTGGTTGGGGTCCGAGAGATGGTGCTACACAGTGGCTAGAGACGTTATCAGATATGGCTCAGAATAGAAGCCAGTGGCGATCCTGCTGTAACCTTCTTTTACTTTCTTCATAAAAAGTGGTTGTGTCTCCCTTACCTGAAAGATTTCTTCTGATTGTACCTTTTCATTCCGTCGTTACTACCACACTACCTTACTCCAATCTCTTCGTCATTGTTCTCTTTTTTTTTCTACTTCTCTTCGAATTCTCATTGTTTTGTGTGGCGCATATATATTGGCGCTCTCTTGTACCAATATTTATGTGTTCAAATAAATAAATAAAATAATTTTCGTCCTCTCAATTTCGTAAACAATATCCCCGGTACGAGAGGGCAGTGAGTAAGACTTCTCTGACCGTGGTTTTATGCACGTGGCCACTTGAGAGCATTTGGAGAGGGAGAACTGACTCTTCCCACTCTCGCGTTACCAGGGCATTCGTGGCAACCCATAGAGTAGGAGTGATCAGTGTAACTTTCTTTAATTCTACATCATGAATTGACTTTTGTTTAGACAAATGCTAAAGACTGTGAAACATTGAACTTGTGTTTCATCCTTGTATGGGATATTTCAGTGGTACGCATCCATAGGTCCATCAGAGATCAAATTCAGAATATTCAAACCTTGTGGTGAACGATTAGCCTGCGCCATTTTCCTCTAGTTCTTAGGACTGATCGAATAATGTTAGTCAAGCTTTAGTGTGTTCACTAGTTTCGTTCAATCGACATCATATACATTGTGGTTAGTCGTTAGTTAGTTGAAAAAGATCAGTAAGATTCTCTGGGCTTACGTGTTCATTAGTCAACACTCGATATTCAGATTTATCTCCTTTTCTGAGGTAACGCTATTCAATGATAACTTCTTTGACAGTCAATGCTTCTGATACTGACATCATCGACTTTTAAACTCCGATAATCGTTGACTTATAAAGTCCGATAGAAATAGAAGTCTGATATATGAAAGCAGCTTTACATTCAAGATCAGTTCAAATATAGAAAACATAATGATCTTTGGACTCCTGAAGCCTTTGGAAAGTAAGGTAAATTCAGTAGCAGATATGAGATTCGACAAATCAGATTATGGAAACCCGAAAAGTTATATGATTTTGAGATGGTGGACAAGATTTGTAGCTCAGGTGGATGATTTTGATGGGGTTTTGTTCTCTGAGCTGGATGGTTTGGTCATGGAGCTTTCATAGTTCTTCCGAATGACATCTAGATACTTGTGAATAAAGTTTTTTGAGAAAAGGTTAGTTGATTACAAGTAATTTTTAGCACTTTCCTAGAACTTCTATTAAAAATATCGATGTAGTTATTATTAGTATTGTGGTGTATGCTACTTATATCTGTCGATACAAGTAGTATATAACACCAATCAGAAGTGGAATATCCAGCAGCAGCAGAAAGCTTAGGAGATGGAATTGAAGAGAATGGGAGTGTAAACAGAGAGTAATTGCAATAACAATGAAGGGACGACCAAGTTTGAGACAATTCATAGAAGATTTGCAAATAAAGTATTTAATGTATGTTTTTTCACATTCTACGGAAGAATTCCGTAATTTTACCTAATTAGCCCTAAAACCTCGATGAAATCAAATATAATTTCATACTTTACACTGCAGACTAATCTTACTTAAATCCTCATTGAAAAAATAGTATAACGTCTAGTATTATGTCACACGTACATAGGTTATTCTGGCCTTTGATCATTATCCTTATATTTCGACATTGTCAATTGTTCACCTATATCCTCGACTATTTCTACGAATGTATGTGTGTGTGTCGATCACTTGTTCTATTTATCATTAATTCAAGTTGGTTATTTCTGCCAATCCAGTTCACATGAGTTTCTCTTCGTCTCTCATCATTTGTTTGCATTATCGTATGCCTGAAATATTTGTCCCGTATATGCCTTCGCATTCGATTTCTTATATCTATGTTGTCATCAACAGGGTTTATCGACAAACTATCTATGAATTAAATAGGATCATTTTGAAATTCGACAGCAGGCCACAAAACTAGGAACCACTGTACAACTGTTTCGTCCTAGTATAGTGCACATTTATGATCCCATCAGTGATCCAACTTAGGACCTTTAAGTTTTATGGTAAGTATTCAACCTTCAGGTCACTGAGCCAGTGTTCAGTGGTCTACATTTCTAACTTCAGTCAATTTTTGGATATTTCACGATCACCATCCAGTGATATTTGTGGATTACTGTCTCACATTCAACATGATAAACTATACTAGTCATAACTTCTTACTATAACTCCTGAAATCGTAACTCGAGAAATTTCTCCCTATTAAGAATATGAGTATTTAATAGATGAATTCATGAGTCAATCAAATCTAAACCACCAATGGAAACCTGAAAGCACTGGACGGTCGGTTCGGCCTAGTGTGAGACTCTTCAGCAATGTGCATCCACGATCCCGTCTCACAAGATTCGAATTCAGAACCTACCGGTCTCGAGCGTGAGCGCCTAACCTCTAGATCACCGAAACAGTATCCATGCTAATATCACTTCAAACGAATCATGAATTTAACTATTAAAAATTACTATAATATCCACAGAAACCCCTCTTTGATTATGCGGTTATCATTATTACTAAAGAGTAGGGATTAAAATGTAACTCCGCCTGGAGCCCCTCTGAGACTATTGGCGGTCCCAAGACCAGATAACAGTTCCCTACGCAAAATGCTTCGGATCCGTTGGCCAGACACTATCAATAACAACCTACTGCGCGAGAGAGGACAAACCAGATTCTAGCGGAGGAAGAAGCACTGGAAGTGGATAGGACACACATTGAGGAAAGCACATAAGACAACCCCTCACTTGAAACCCTCAAGGCCAAATGAGAAGAGGAAAACCAAAGAACATATTACACCGAGAAACGGTGACAGACCTGAAAAAAATGAACAACAATTAAATAGAACTAGAAAGGAAGGCTTAGGACAGAATAGGTTGGAGAATGCTGATCGGCGGCCTATGCTCCATTGGGGGTAACAAGCGTAAGTAAATGATTAAAATGTCCTTATACATAAAATACATCTTGTACAATACCATTATACAGCAAAGATAATCATTACTCAAAACGTAATTTATTAACAAAAATAGATATATAGTTATCAGTATATAAGTAATATAGTAAACAATTTTGATAAAAAAGAAGAAAATAAAAGGAGAAGAAAAGTTACACAATAAAAAACCGCTTTTTTAACTTTATTTCACTGACTACTAATTTAAATGTTTATCAGTAGTATTTTGATAAATTTGTATATTCATTAATTCATTAGAAATTTGTAAAAGATTATAAATTCGTTGAGTTAAACGATATGTCAATATCCAATGGTTTGTTGCTATGGTAACTTGTTTATTATGATGTAATTGTTGTTTTAATTTATGAATTATATGTTTGATTAACATCATATGTATTGTATATTTTAATAATTCAAATGATTTAGTATAAGAATCATTTAAGAGACCTGAAAGTTATGAGAGAAAAGAAAGTGAGATGAATGATTTATGTAATATATACAACATGAAACAAGAAGTACTAGTTTAAGTATTAGACTTTGCATCGACAATCTGTTAGATTCGTTAAAGCTTGAATGCTACTACTGATTCGGCTTATTCGGAACGTAACGAAGGATCAGGATTCACAGACTCGATAGGCTACTCTGGTCCGTAGTCTCCGACTCAGCTAACTCGATCAAGAAGTCTTGGTAAGACGTAGAAGTGTATTCTACAGGCAACCAGCAGATACCAGGTCAGGCACACAAGTCAAGCGTATTTATACAAATATTTATAATCGATATTGTCATGGTAAAATGTTTTTAAACATTAATCAATAAGTTGATCAATCGACAGTCATTCAAATATTTAATCGATAAGTTCGTCAGTTGACTGCCATTCAAATATTCAAACATTTAATCGATAAGATAAAATTACAAAATATGAGTTTTGGGGATCTATTATCCCCAACACAATCCTACAATGCATCGAAACTATGGTGTTAGGATCTTACAGTAAACGTATCTAATCTTTAAATCATTTAATCGTTATCTAATATTTGATAATTCTAGTTTCAGTCAACTCATGAATATTGTGAAGCTGTCGTTCAGTACTGTTGATAGGCAACTTCTTTACATCTGATATTGTTGAATTCTAATGATCATAACTGGGTGTAGAACCTAATGGTCTTAGGTTCGAATTCCTGTAGGCTTTTATTTTATTTAAACACAAATATTGGTACAAAGGGGCACCAAATACATATGCGCCACACAGATCTCATTTGATTTGTGTGAGGGTTGTGATACTGACCGGTTGCCCTAACCGAAGCAGGTGGTTTTCTTAGGGGGCCACACGCCGAGCCTTCGACCTACAGGTCTGATCCACAAGGCAGTGGAGCATCGTAAGGAGATGCAGTCCTATGGTAGCCGGTGACCAACGATTGATCCCTACGCCATTTATTCCTTCAGGATACTGGAGTCCATGTGCACCATTTGTTTGGAATGAGGGTTTTTCAACTCCTCTAGGTGGACTCTCTATGTCCACCAACCCAGTTAGAGCGCCGGACATGCGCTTTTCGTCCTCTCAGTTTCGTAAAAAACACCTCCGCCACGAGAAAGCAGTGAGTAGGACTTCCCTGGCAGAGGCTACATACGCGTGGTCATGTGAGAGTATTTCGAGAGGGTGAGCGGACTCTCCCACTCTCAGCCATACAAGGTTATTTGCAGGCTTGTGAATGATCATTTCTGAATAACCTCAAAGTAGGATAAGATAGCTATACAGTAATTTATGTCTTTCAATCGTCTTCTAAGATTTTTTCGTGATGTAAACCATAAAATCGATAATAGTGTAATTAGGATTTGTATTTTCCTGAATTCTGATGAGTTATTGTTATTAAAAGTATATCTTGGATGGATGCCTCAATATTAAATATAATATTACAAGACTTCGAATATTTTTACATCATGGCTAGCCAAAGAATTCAAGGTACGAACGTTTTCCGAGTTGAAACTTTACTTGGATATACATACCCCCTCCCCTGATCTCGATGTTCATACTTAGATTCTAGTCCAGTGTTCAGCTCTATAAACTCCAAAATGGAATCCACTAAACCATTGAGTTATTATAGATTATAATTTGTGTAACATTTATGATATTATATGCAAAAATGGATAGTGGCTAGTAGTGGAATCCAGGACGTGCGTTTCGTCCTATTTGGGACTCGTCAGCTGGATGTACCTACATCTCGGATTTGGTGTTCACTCTGAGACTAGAATTCAGTACCGTTCGCTTCAAACGCTATCGCACTATCCACTTAGCAACTGAGTCCTAATAGCCACTTGCTTGTGTAATGTAGTGAAGTTTAGATTCACTTGGTAAAGAGACTGATCAATTGTAGTCCTAAACATTAGTGGGAAGGTTGAAATAAACAATACCAATTGAATGTATGATGTTAGTTTGTAAATACTGATTATAACGTGGACCAGAATGGAATGTGAGTGGATCAGACTGACGAAGATTTGATGTGATGAAACATGTGTTCTAACACAATTCAAAAGATACTTATGGTAATATTGATTCAAACAATCAAATGAAATGGTCTTATCAACTTGTAATTAGCTATGATATATATTATTTCCATGTTTAGCAATCATTCATGGATACCGTGCTTATTGAGGAATAAAATTATCCAAATGTATACACTATTTTGTTTAGTAACTAATCAATATTATACACTATCTCAAGGTAATGATTACTGTATCCAGATAATTCAAAACTTTTTTCAAATATAACATCCCCATTAAATTATGTATACAATTTGTGTAGTTAATAGTATTATCAAGTGTTATCTGTAGGCATATGTCGTCGTATTCGATCAAGTAAGATCAATGTTCACTTTCAACTTTGATCCATATATATATATAGTTGGATTTATGAGTCAAACGAAGTTAGACCACCATGGAAAACCTGAAAGCACTAGACAGCCGTTTCGTCCTAGTATGAGACTACTCAGCAGTGCGCATCCATATATATGGAAAAAGTGAATAAACTTGAAGGTTCTCAGAAAGAATGTAATCAACATTAATTGGTAGTTTTCTATGAGAATTGATCTGGAGAGGACATTTGCTATATCCAGACGAAGAATAAGTGAATGGTAACTTTGTGATTGAGATCACGAACTGATTGATGTTAGACCACCATTGAAAACCTGGAAGCACTGGAGAGCCGTTTCGTTCTATTGTGGGACTCCTCAGCACTGCTGATCTCAATCAAAAACTTAACAATCTCCACAACCCCTAAACTGAATGGTAACTGTTAGGATCTATTTATGGACTATTGTTACATACATTTCTATTGGCTAACTTTTAAGTAACTAGATTTTCTGTATATTCATATTCCTTAAACTTCCGTTTGACCTATTAGCTACTGCATTATGATTTACTGTTCTTAAGTTATTCCCAATTTATTAGTTATAGTCTTTCAAAATGCTGATCGACGGCCTATGCTCCATTGGGTGTAACAGGTGCCAGTAAGTGAGTAAGTAAGTCTCACAATCACAGCCACTTTTTGGCTTGATCTTGTATAATTGTTATTTCCTACTTTATGGTATGATGCAGTCTGATTTGGTTTATATATAAACCAAGTATGTCTGAAATATGTGATTCTTAAAGCGGAGGCTGATATTAGTGTTCTACTCTAAACTGGCTGGGTTAGACAGGGAGCTATTATCTCGGAGGACCAATAAGAACTCAAAGTTGATTCTAGGCTGTTCGTACTGGTTTATGAATCATTGGCCTGGTCAATAAGTCGGTGTTCTAATTGGAGATTCAGTTACATGATATATTCTCAAGCTTTAAGGACATAACAACGATATTCCAGTAAAGTATTTTGTTAGCTCATTTCAACTCGCTTCTTTAACACTCATTTTCTCATTCTTAAGACCTTCTATTCAGTGTTTCTGAATTATATTGTCTACTTAGTGTTTATCTCATGAAATGACTTTAGTTAGAGAAGAATTCTTCAATTTAAAAGATGAAAGTGGGATTATTAAAGGGTAACTAAATCTGATATTAGATTGTTTTCACCAGTGATAATTAGTTAGAATGCTTATAAGTGGCCTATGCTTTTCCATGAGGGGTAACAGGCGTAATCAGTCAATCAGTCAGCTATAACGTAGGATTAGGCACATATATGCATCGATTCAAGTTGTCACAACTCATTAACACAGCAAGATGAACAACGAATTCATAGAAGTAGTAACTTTAATGGTAGTAATATATAAAAGAAGGGTTGTGTATAAGGATATAATACAGGAAGAGAGAATTAGTTGATAGAAATAAAGATATAAAGCAGTTTTAATCTCATAGTTTAAGGGGAGACAGAGAGTATATACATCTATGCCATTATGATCGATTCTGAACCAGGTCATCCAAAGTTCCCAACCATTGGTTACGATAGTAACGTGGACCTCAACCAAGTAGTCTATATCTACCACATAGCTAAGAATAAAAGTTAATGGCTTCAAGCACTGATTATTGATCACTGAGTGGTGATCAATGTCATGTGTGTCAAGTCCTTATTAGTGCAGATTGAATGCTATCGACCATGTTGCAATGTGGCCACCAGTCTAGATGATTCGACACTGCGTGCACTACATATTGAGATTAGATGGTGGTCGGAGGTAGTCAACAGGAAATCCTGGACCCATCACAGTCCTACAGTAGGTTGGTGTCTGCCGGGGTAGCTCAGTGGTAACGTCTCTGACTGTGAATATAGTTGACATGGGATCGAATCCGCCAGGGAGCACCGGTTCCCTCAAGACTACAGGTACAGCTTGCTGACGAGTGCCAAGTAGCACGAAACGCGGGTTCAGGGTTTCCTGTCGACTCTACCTCCAACCACCATCTAACTGATTATTGATCCACAATGCATAATTGATTACGTAACTATCATCATTCCTGTCCTCTTGAAATTAATCCCCAATTTCAAAGTTGTCCTGAATATCTCTAAATATTGATTTATTCACAAAATGTTTTAAAAAAATTTATAAACAACACTTATATAGTTGACTTACTTGAATTTAACAGGATGAAACATCGCATACATCCCCATTCAAATGAATCGATATTATGTCTTTTTATACTACTAATTAGTAGTAACAAATTACTATGATTATTATTTTTATTATGAATTATGTAATTATTATTATTCCAGTTTGAACTACCACTATGATTACTAATACTACTACTACTACTCTCCATAATTCATTTGTATCAGTTGACTTCTGTTCTAAACCAGTTTCAACTTGGCTTATATCGAAATTTGTAATTGATCGGTTACTACTTAACTGACTTGATGTGATAGGTGATGGTTTGTAATATTTGGAAGTATCATGTTGTTGTTGTCGTCGTTGCCGTTGTTCTTGTTGTTGTTGAAGATGAGGAGGAGGAGGAGGTGGATGATGGTGATGATGATGAGAGGGAGGAGAAGGATGACGATGAATGAAGTAAATTAAAGATTTAATCTGTTCAATTATAATCTCTTCAGTTTGATAATTATGAATTGACTAGAATATAGAAGTAATTAGGAAAACAAAACAATTACAGATTAATTTGTATGAAGCAGTAATTATCAAAGTATTTATAGGTGAATCTGATATTCAGTTGTAAATAACATGAAGGACTTAAAATGTATGTGCATTAGTCCAAGTACCTACACCACATCAACAAATTAAACTACGAAATCATCAATACAATATATCATAGTATTACTGGAAGTACTAACAGTATCAGCGGTATTGGTACTTGTAGAATAGCACGAGATAATTTTGAAACTCAAAATCTGATGTTAAATAATAACAAGTGAATGGGGCGGGACTATCATTTATGGATGAACTGATCAGGTATAAGATAAAAAGGCGCGAAATCCATTCATCCATTTAGATAAATAAAGTTTTGGCATTATAGCTGAGAAAACAAACCCAATCTCAGAGGAGGAAGAAATCAGGAAGAAGCGCTGGAAGTGGATAGGACACACATTGAGGAAAGCACTTAAGGCAATCCCTCACTTGGAATCCTCAAGGCCAAAAGTGAAGAGGAAGACAAATGAATACGTTACGCTGAGAAATGAAGACAGACATAAGAAGAATGAACAACAATTGAATAGAACAAGAAAGGAAGGCTCAGGACAGAATAGGTTGGAGAATGCTGATCGGTGGCCTATACTCTATTGCAGGTGACTGGCTCAAGTAAATAAGTAAGTAAATATTCGGCTAGATCTTGTACACTAGAAATTTCGGGCGGAGGATTGAAACAAGAAATGTATCAACCATTTTGATCTCATTACTCAATGAGATAGACAATTTTTCTATTCATATTCACTACAAAACTATAATCAACCTCAAACCCTTATAAAAGAGAAGTGTTGAGCTGCAAGATTAATAACCTTACTCATATATATATATATATATATATATATATATATATATAAAACTCCACCTGGATCTCCTCTGAGGCTACTGACAGTCTCAACCTCGGATAAAGGAGGAGGGTTGGAATGGGATTATTGACTCCATCCCGTGGAAAACTAACCCATCAGAAAACGCTAACCAGATATATAAATTTTTTTTAAAAAAAAGAACGGTGTCATGGATAATTTATTGATTTATATCCTAAATCATAATAATAATAATAATAATAATAATCGATTGAATACATAGTTACTAAAAAAAATGAACCATAAATAAACAATACTTGAAAATCAATTAAATAAATCTTCATTCAATTTAATTAAACAATTAAATACATTTTTGTTTATCATAAAAATAAATTCATCCATAGTAAATAGATGATTTCAAAGTCAATGAATGAATCTTATACCAGATGGTTCCTTTTGGTTTATATATTAACCAATGATGTCATAGAAGTGAATATACATTGGTAACCACACACTGACACACTCACCCCTACACACCCCACACACATACACGACATATATATAGAAAGACAGAGATAAATACATTAAAAGATACATACATGTTTACATATTGAATATTCACGTGTATGACACATAAATTGTTTACTAATCAAAACTATAATTCCTAAGATGTTTTCCTAAGATATTTCTTTCCACCACCAACACCAACACCACCACCTACATCACCACCCCCTGTATCATTATCACTTAATAACTACAATGTGTAGATATGATTCTTTATTTTTTCTTCTCTGTTTTACTACCAAAAAAAAATTTTATCATTAAAGAAAAAATGCGAAATCTGTGGAAATGTTTACTGTTAACAACAACAACAACAACAAACAGTGATTTGTTGCTAAGCCTTGTTGATAGGTAAAATGTTTTGTTGAATCTTTTAAATTGAAATTTTCTTTTAAATATCCTTGATCCTGTCATAGTGTTTCAGATTTATGATGATGATGATTATAATAAAGATGAACTGATAAAGATTTTAATATCAGAAGGGGTTTTGTGGAGATTTTAGAAATTTCACTGATTGAAATCATGAGTCAATTGAAGCTAGACCACTATGGAAAACCTGGAAGAACTGGACGGCTGTTTCGTCCTAGTATGGGACTCCTCAGCAGTGTATGGTGGCTCAAATTTGTGGATTGGTTGAGATTAGACATTAACACCGTTGGCTGCCGGCTCAGTGGTCTAGTTGGTTAAGCGCCTGGCGCTAGACTGCTAGATCGTGGGTTCGAGTCTCGCGGGGGGTGGGATCGTGAGTTCGCACTGCCGAGGAGTCCCACAATAGGACGAAACGGTCGTCCAGTTCTTCCAGGTTTTCCATAGTGGTCTAGCATCAATTGACTCATGATTTCAATCAGTGAAATATTTTAGTAGTCAAATTCATAAATTAATGTAAGTTAGGTTACCATTAAAAACCTAGAAGCACTGGATGACTGCTTTGTCCTAGTATAAGACTCGAATCCAGGACCTTCAGTTAGAGTACTGTGTGCGGGTTCGTGGATACGCAATGTTAAGGTGTTCCATATTAGGATGAAATGGTCGTCAAGTACTTCCAGGTTTTTAATGGTGGTCTAGTTTGGATCAATTCATGAATTCAATTATTAAAATTACGACAATCTCAACAAACCCCCATTTTAATGGTTAAGTAGTGTGTCCTTGATGTACATACCATTATGAAAGCATTTCATAACGTGTATAGGAAAATAGTATGGAGGCTTCTTCGACACCACGGCGTGCCTCAGAAGATAGTCAATATCATACAGAATTCGTATGGTAGATTAAACTGCAAAATCGTACATGGAGGACAGCTGACAGACAACACAATGTTGCTTACTCTCACCCTTTCTCTTCCCCCTGGTGATCGACTGGATCGTAAAGACGTCAGCATCTGGGGGAAGCATGAGGTGCAGTGGACAGTTAAGTTGCAGCTGGATGATCTAGACTTCACAGATGATCTGGCTTTTCTATCGCACATGCACCAACAAATACAGGAGCAGACGACCAGTGAAGCAGCAGCCTCAGCAGCAGTAGGTCTCAACATACACAAAGGGAAAAGTAACATTCTCCGATACAACACAGCATGCACCAATCCAGTCACAATTGACGAAGAAGATGAAAAAACCTTTACATATCTGGACAGCACCATTGATGAATACGGTGACTCTGATGCAGATGTGAAGGCGCGAATCGACAAAGCAAAAGCAGCATATAAAACTGAAGAACGTCTGGGTCTCAAAGCAACTGTTAACCAACATTAAAGTCAGAATTTTCAATACAAATATCAAAACAGTTCTACTGTATGGGGCAGAAACCTGGAGAACTACGAAAGCCATCATCCAGAAGATACAAGTGTTTATTAACAGCTGTCTATGTAAAATACTTCGGATCCGTTAACCAGACACTATTAACAACAACCTACTATGGGAGACAACAAACCAGATCCCAGTGGAGGAAGAAATCAGGAAGAAGTGTTGAAAGCGGATAGGTCACACATTGATGGAAGCACCCAACTGCATCACAAAGCAAGCCCTCACTCGGGATCCTCAAGGCCAAAGGAGAAGAAGAAGTCCAAAGAATACATTACGCTGAGAAATGGAAACAGACATGAGAAGAATGAACAACAATTGGATAAAACTAGAAAGGAAGGCCCATCCAGAAGGGTTTTGTAAAATGCTGGTCGGCAGCCTATTCTCCATTGGGAGTGATAGGCGTAATTAAGTATGTAATGAATCTTTAAACGATTGGAGGTAACTAATAAAAGAAAATTGAGTTTAATTGATATTTAGTAAAATTAGATAATGGTAAGAAATGAAATCTAAGACAAGTGTTTCATTCTATTATAGGACTCTTTAGATGGACTGCCTTTCATTTCAGTGTGTAAATATTAGCACTGGGATTCAGGTACATCCAGCTGATGGGTTTTAAATAGGACGAAACGTGTGAAGGTTAAAACGATCGAAGGAAAGAGGATGAAAACAGAGAATGATTGGTTCAGAAACAAAAGAACAATCAAGTCTAAGGTGATTGATTGACATAGTGCAAATGAAGTATTTACTATATGGTTCTCAGATTTTACTAAGGTGTTCGGTCATTTTGCATTCAAATATATTCGATTGTCCCCACTCGTGTGTTGACGTCCACTACACTATTAGCCTCATAGATTGATTTAAACTCTACGGTTTTCACATAGTACTCAACTAATTTATGAACATACCTTATACTAAACACATCTTCATATTAAGTACTGAATAAGAGAAGAAAAACATAGAAATGATTCTCGCCATTAATAATTGTAAAACCTCTTGATAACTAGAGAATATCTAGTAACCAACTTATAGTTTATTCGAGATTCCCTTAGTAATGACCGCTTACAACCTTAGATGGTCCATATATGTCATGATAAGTATGGTATATATTCAGGTTACTTAACTGTTCAGTCGTTTTCCTCCCCTGTGAATGGTCTAATGTTTTTTATTCTTAAAAAATCGGTTCATTTTTCTACATTTTTTATGATTTGAAAACTACAAAATCTCCTAATTTTTAACACCTCGTTTACTACATACCAAAAAGAGAACTCATTTATTGCCTGGTAGTAACTAACTGCTCCTAGTGAAAAGCCCAATGAATGATGAAGTTCTACCATCTAGGATGTGCGATCAATATTATGTGTTCATAAATGATGGTTGTTCAATAATATGAAATTAGAAATGTTAACCATTGAATGAACTAGTTAGCAATCTATAGGTCAAGCTTTTACGGTGGGATCTTAATGTTCTACATTGAAGACCAGATTAAGTATTGTTAGCTCACTACTTAGGAGTCTCAGTCTAAGACAAAGTAATGATTTCTGACTTAGAACAGTCTTCCAGTTAATAATAATAATTCATTATAAGTGTTTTTTCACAGGTAAAATAACGAGTCGATCTAAGCTAGATCATCACTGAAAACCTGAAAGAACTAAACGCGACTCCTCAGTCCCGTACAAGACTCGAGCCCAGAACTTCCGGTGTCAAATGTAAGCGCTTAACCTATAGACTACTTAACTAGATCACCATTAAAAACCCGAGTTGTCTTTTCATCTCGGCATGGAGCTCTTCAGTGGCACCTATCCATAATCCCCCATAGGGGGTTCGAACCCAGAACCTTCGTTCTCGAATTTAAACGCTTAACCCATAGACAACCACCTAATTATCATTTAATGATGTTAATATCTAATTTCATTTACACTTTACTTACTTGACAAATATGCATTAAACTAAGTGTTGGCAATGATTGATTCAATAATAATTCACATTCTTTATCTATTAATTCACATATAATAATTTGAGTTGTATCAGGTATTGGTGTAATACTTTTTAATTGAATTGATGTTTTCACTTCATATTCTTGTAATTCATAGAATTCTATTTGTGAAATTAATTCATTTATCCATAAATAGTCTTCTTCGTCGTCGTCGACGCTGTCATCATCGTCGTCTTCTTCTTCATGTTCATTATGAAATGGATTGGAATTTCCCGCCATATTCTTGAAACATTGAATCCATACTTGTTTAAATGAATGTAATCTATTTAAAATGATTGAGATTTGTTTTAATAATTTATTTGACCATAATCTCATTAGTTCTATATGATAATTATAATTTGAATAAGTAGTAGTAGTAGTAATAGTAGTATTAGTAGTAGTATCTATTGAATAGGTTATATCTTTTATAAGTATCCATTCTTCTAATGTTTTTTTTATATCTATGATAAATGAATGAATAGTTTGTCGATGTATAGTTGATGTGAATGATGCTAATGTTGTTGTTGATGATGATGAATCTGGTTGTCTAAATGAATTGGATTCTTGATTTAAATCACATCTCATACGATTAATATTATTATTAGTAGTAGTAGTATTAGTAGTGGTAGTAGTAGTAGTAGTCATAGTAATAGTAGTGGTAGTAGTAGTAGTAGTGGTACTATTAGTAGTATTGTTAGTAGTATGATATTGATGAATACAATTCATATTTATATGATTAAAATTTGTCATAATTGGTGTAGTCATTGTAATTGGAGTTGAAACATGATGATATTGAATGATGATCATGATCATGATTATGATGATAATAACCATACGATGATTTTTGTGGTAGATTTAAACGTGTTGCATAATGATTATGATGATGATGTAATATGGATGATTGATCATCGTAGGTTAACATGGATGAAGTATTATTACTACTCGTATGACTATGAAATGGTAAATAAGATGTAACGATATTCTCTATTGGTTTATTCATTGAATGAGTTGATATAGATCTTCTTGTATAAATAGGCTGATTATATAGTTTTGAATAGTGTATACTCGATGTATTCAATGTATTCTCGTATGGTTCATAATATGGTTGAGGTAAAGGATTCATATTATCATTTAAAGTGGTCATATATTGACTAGTTGTTGGGATATATACATTTGATAATTTGATTGGATCTGATCTATTGTAATGATCAGTGAATGTAGAATTTAATATAAAATTATTAGTAGTATCATTAGTAGTATTATTAATAGGAGTAGTAGGAGTAAGGGTAGGAGGAGTAGGATTAGTTACTGTTCCATGAAGATAAGCGGTAGCAGCGGCAGCAACTGCTGCAGCTGCAATAACTGGATAAGATGAATATGGTGTTGTTGAACATAAATAAGTTTGTGTATTAGCTCGTGCACGTTGAACAGCTAAATAATAAATAAATTGAAAAAAATATGGTTAATAAATAAAATTTTCAATATTGTACTATAGATACGTTTTCTAAACTAATAATAATCAACAGGAAACCAGATTTGATAATCATTAATGGTTACCGCTTTGCCCCCAAATGCCCTAGTCGAAATGCTCTCACATGGCCACGCGCATATAACCACTGCTAGGGAAGTCCTACTCACTGCACTCTCGTGGTGGGGGTATTGTCTACGAAATGGAGAGAACGAGAAGCAAATGTTCGACACATTAATCGGGCTAGTAGATATGGAGGATCCACATAGGGGAGTAGGGAAACCCCGATTCCAAACCAATATTGCACCTGGGCTACAGGATCCTGAAGGAACAAACGGAGTATGAACCAATTATTGGTCACCGGCTACCATGGGACTGTACCTCTTTACGTTCCTCCACTACCTTATGGAATAGAACTTCAGGTTAAAGGCTTCGGGTGTGGACCCGTGATTCAGTTTGGACACCCGAGCAGTATCTCAGCCCTCACATAAATTGAATGATTTACCCACGAAATTGAGCGACACATCCACCATTTTCTTCAGTGAGTTACTACCTCACAACTGACCCGGATGAACTCCACTAATCACGGCTTTTCACTAGAACTCCTGGAAATACCTCTTGAAGCCAGTCACTAGTAAGCATATGTTGTATATATCAGAAGGGTTTTGTGGATATTACGGTTATTTCAGTAGTTGAGATCATAAGTCAATTGAAGCTAAACCAACATGGAAAACCTGGAAACACTGGACGGTCGTTTCGTTCTAGTGTGGGACTCCTGAGCAGTGCGCATCCACGACCTCGCCCCCTGCGAGATTCGGACCCAGGACCTATCGATCTCACGCGCGAACGCTTAAAGTCTATACCACTGAGCCGGTCGGCATCCAGTTGTGTTAATGTCTACCTTCAACTAATCCACGAAATTGAGCGACACATCCACCATCATCTTCAGTAATAATAATCAATAGGAAACCAGATTTTGTAATCATTAATGGTTATCAGTTTTAGGGATTTATGAAGATTGTATCCTTTTCATAATTAAATTCATGAGTCAATTTAATCTAGAGCATCATTAAACATCCTGGAAGCACTAGAAGTAACTGTTTGTTTGAATTTGGTATTCATCTTATTGTGCTAATGAAGTATGACAACTTGGACCGATAGATCTCTCGCATTTTAGATATAACTTAGTCATTTCACTACTGAATCTGAATTCGACAATTACCAAATATTTCTACTGGAATTAAGCACTTATGATGTTACCCAGAAGGAAAATTCTGCAGTTTAAAGAGGGTACTATACAAAAAGATCATGTTTGTCTAAGTCTTCATAACTGATCGAATTCTATCGATTAAGTAATGTAACTCAATGATAACGTCTCAGATTGTGAAGTTGGATGACACAAATTTGAACTATACAACCATCATCGATTTCTTTAAAATTATCCATAAACTTTCCTATTGACTACCTCAGATCACTAACCAATTTAAATTCGACAATCGTTGAAAACCTCGAAGCATTAGATAACTGTTTTGTCTTAATACAGGACTGAGATGGTTGGGTCACGTGTTGCGTATGCCTAAACACCGATTACCACAACGCGCAATACTGACTAGTGTTGGGAATGGTTGGAAGAAAGTTAGGGCAGCCAAACCAAAACGTGGCATCAGTGCTTGGAGTCACTAACTTCTAGTCTGAGCCATGTTGGAAGATGCAGACTACTTGGTTGTGGTCCGCGTGACTATCGTAACCGATGGTTGTAGACTCTTGGTGACATGACTCAGAATCGATCACAGTGACGTTGATGTATACACTCTGTCTTCCCTTAAACTATGAGATTAAAATCGCTTTATATCTTTCTTTCTGTGAACTAAATATTTCTTCCTGTACTATGTTCTCATACACAATCTTTCTTTTATATATTACCACCATTGAAGTGACTACTTCCATGAATTTGGTGATCATCTTGCTGTGTTAATGCGGTATGGCAACTTGGACCGATATATGTGCGTGGTCCTACGTTGTATCTGACTGACTTACTGACTGAGTCCCATCCACTAATTTTCAACCAGGAATTAAATCCATTTCAAGGTTACTGCTCATTAAATGAAGATTATAAATCAACTGTTAATCAATAAAGATAATAATAATAATCATGAATTTATTATCATAACGGTTTCATAAATCTTCTCAATTAAACTCTACATTAAATGGAGAGTAAGATTATTCGATTAAATAATCTCTAGATATACATAAATAATCAACAGTTTACTTACCCTATGCAAACAAACAACAAACATTACATATGTACACATAATCATATGCATTTGTGCACATACAAATGTTTATACACATACACATACACACACACCACGTAATCTAACAAAAGTGACATAAACTCATCTTAGCAAGAGGCCAAAAGGAAATATCTACTTCCCTTCATATCACTTATCCACCTCCCCCCCCCGCTGAAAACATACATTTTATTTACATGCTCATTCTCATTCTAGATTGGTTACTATGACAATTGGATGGATGAGAAAAAATATGCCACACGAATAGTAATAATTTTTTTCTGTTTTGTTTTTTTAATGATCAGGGCTTAATTCACACCGCTTAAAACAGTTAGGTAACTATCTCTCTGTCTATTTACTCATACACATGTGGAGTATATTTTTAAAAAAATTTTTTGTCCATGGAAAGTCCTACTTTTCTAAGTAAACTTTGATAGTAGATGGTGGTTGGAGGTAGTCGACAGAAAACCCTGGATCCGGGTTTCGTGCTACTTGGCACTCGTCAGCAAGGTGTGCCTGTAATCTTGAGGGAACTGGTGCTCCCTGGCGGATTTGATCTCGTGTCACCCAGCTTTACAGACAGAGACGGTACCACTGAGCTATCCGAACCGCAACCGACCTACTGTAGGACTGAGATGTAATCACAATTGATTGATCACCGAGTGGCGATCAATGTCATGCGTGTCTAGTCCTTATTAGTGCAGATCGAATGCTATCGACCATGTTGCAATGTGGCCACCAGTCTAGATGACTCGACACTGCGTGCACTACATATTGAGATTAGATGGTGGTTGGAGGTAGTCTACAGGAAACCCTGGACCCGAGTTATAAGCAGAGATGGATGTTGGCTAGTAGTGGAATCCAGGACACGTGTTTTGTTCTTATTTGGAACTTGTATCCTAAAATTGTTGATATTCACTCCGGGACTCGAACCTAGTACTATTGGCTTCAAACGCTTATAATGCTAGTGACTTCAAGTAATATTGAAATAGTCCCCACAGGATGTATATATATATCAAAAGAGACTGATCAATTGTAGTTTTAAACATCAATGGGAAGATTCAAATAAACGATATAAAAATGAATTGAAGTTTGATAGTGGTTAGTAGTCAAATATACGACATGCGTTTCATCGTATCTGAGACTCGTCATCTGGATGTACCGGACGATTACACAGGAACTCGACCCCAACACTTTGACTTTGGAACATCCAACTGGTTATCCACTCAGATAACCATCAGGTTGAACTCTTGGTGTCAATATCTTGTTACTTAGTAGTTATGTGTTGAGAATATATAAACCAATAATCCGTAAATTGGTTCAAAGAGTTACCATTTCTTCAATCTTGTCTTACGTATCACAATATATCAAGGTATCTATTAAATTATGGTTATATCCTGACTATAACAAATGACATCTGCTGGTAATTACATAATATTGAGGGATTTATGGAGATTGTAGAACTTTTAACAAGTCAAATCACAAAGTAATTTTAGTAAGATTACCATTGAAAACCCGGAAACACTAGAAGACTATTTCATCCTTACATGGGATTTCTCAACACAACACCACCACATAGATTTAAACCAAGAATATTCAGTTATGAACAGGAACACTTGATCTGTAGACCACTAAGCCAACCTCCAATGGTGTTAATATCTAACTTCAATCAATTCATGAGTTTGTGGGACTACCTCCCATTGGCTGCCGTTTGATAACTGTTTGACTATCCTTGTGGTGGTGTAGCTGGCGGGCAGTGTCTCTGAGATATCGCAAACTAAAATGAAATAGCTATTCAGTGCACTTTGCGTTTCTATGGTGTTCTAAATAAGATCAACTAGTGACATAATCTGTGAAACTTCTACTCATTACACTTCCCTTACTTCAACGCTTGTTCCTATGTTAAAAAAGCACGTCATACTCTATGTTTGTTAATGGGAGACTATAGTTTACAAAAAGAATATAAGATATCTAACCTGAATTTACAGTCGGACACTAAACTAGTTGTATCCTGTCAATGTTCACTAAATTCTAAATTCACATTCCCATGTATAAACTATTCATGAATTTAGTAACCGGATCAAACCAATATACTAAACATTCATTATATGTTTATTAGTGACTAACTTTGAAAGTGAATCCCCTGTAATTCAATTATGTAGTTCTGATTAGAGAAGATCAACTACATCAAAGATGAGACAATTATCATCATTCTTATTAAATAATGATCGCATAATACCTGAAGTGATTGATTTAACATGTGAACAACTAGATATCAACTCAGTGGTCTGTAGGCTAAACACTATTGTCATGAGACTTGAATATTGCTAATTCAGTTTATTGAGAAGTTGTGTATATACACCAACAAGGAGTTTCACCAGTAGAATGAAACAAAAACTATTCAACGTCGTCTAACTAAAGTCAATCAGTCATGTAAAATAATTTCATGATTAAACTAACTTCATATTCTTATGTACAAATATCGATCCTTTTTTAATAATTGAGATCATGAGTCAATTGAAGCTAGACCACGATTATATTAATCAAAATATGCTCACTAATAACGGTCTCCAAGAGGTATTTCATGGAATTCTAGTGAAAAGTAGTGACCAGTGGAGTTCAACTGGGTCTGTTCTGAGATAGAAACTCACTGAAGACAATGGTGAATTGTC